TGTTAGGCTGATTGGTAACTCTAAATTGTCCCTAGGTGTGAGTGAATGGTTATTTGTCTCGTTTGTCTTTATGTGGCCCTGTGATGGACTTGCGACCCGTCCAGGGTGTACCCCGCCCCTCGCACAGTGATTGCTGGACATGGGCACCGGCGACCCCCGTGACCCAAAATGGAATTAACGGGTATAGAAAATGGATGGATGGATGGATGGATGGAACCGCGTGTTGAAACTTTGGGAGCTCGTGTTGATGACCGCCTGGAGGGCATTAGCGGCCAGCTACAACAACACAGCTCCATGCTAGCATCAATAGCTAAAACGGTGCAACTGAACTCTGAGGATATTCAAGAGTGTAAAAGCAAAGTTAAAAGGGTGGAGATGCAAGTTGAGCTTCTTCAAAAGGAAAAGGAGGAAATGAAGGAACGTTTGGTGGGTCAAGAAAAATATAAAAGAAGATGGTGCCTACGGATTAAAGGAAAAAAGGGCAAAGTTAATGAAAACATCAGAGCTGAAGTCGTGGAGTTGCTGAGCAGAATTCTACCTGATCGGGCTGGAAAGATGGAGGATGCTGTTGACGTCGTTCACAGAGTGGGAAGATCAACGGAAGGTCGACACAGACAAATTATAATCCTCTTCTCCAAGAGAAGTGTCAGAGATGAGGTGTGGAAGAAAACAAAGTCATCACAGATCTGCAGAGATGAAGGTCTGAAGTTTGCAGAGGACCTGACCCAGGAGGACTTGAAGTCAAGACAAGCGCTGTGGCTGAGAATTGAGCAGGCAAGAAAGGAGGGTAAGGCTGCAGGATTCAGAGGAGCCTTCGCCTACATCGAAGGGAGGAGAGTTTTTTAGCTGAAGTTCAAGCACTGTTTTGATGTTTAGATGAAACTTGAAGCTTTTCTGTTACAGTGGAGATTGTTTTGTTTTTCAAGGGTCTATTAAGGGGACTCTACTCTCAGGGTTTTTTACTCTACCTCCTATAACCTAAGTTTTTAATTTTTTATTTGTTTTCTATTGTTATTGTTCTTAATGTGTTCAGTATTCAATTTAAAGACTGAGATTCTATTTTCTTCTTTTAATGCAAGAGGGCTCAAAGACTCTATTAAGCGTATAAGGCTGTTTTTTTATTTTGCAAAGGTCAAAAGGCTAACTGTTTCTTTCTTCAAGAGACGCACTCGGAGTTAACTGATGTGAAGTTTTGGACTCAACAATGGGGTGATAAGATCATTTTTAGTCATGGCACAAATCGTTCTGCAGGAGTAGCTATTTGTTTAAATAGATGTCCAGGAAAGGTTATTTTTCAGGAAATAGACGACGCTGGACACTGGGCAGCAGGTGTTTTAGATATTGACAGCAATTTGTTCATCATTGTTAATGTTTATGGATACAACAATGACCAAAAAAAACAAACAGTTATTACATCAAGTCACAACAATTATAAAAAACAATGCAGCTGAATTATCCCACTGAGCACGTTGTTGTTGGGGGTGATTTTAATTGAACTCCAGATGAATGATGGACAGATGCCCTTCCAAACAATCTCAGGTGACAAACCCAATCATGGGTGACTTTATGAATACCAATAAACTTGTTGATGTTTGGAGAAACATAAACTCTAACATTAGACAGTATTCTTGATTTAAACCTGACGGACAATCAAGATCAAGAATTGATTATTGGTTAATTACAGATTCTATACTTGAACACGTCACAGAAGCCAAGATCTCTTGTAGCCCTTTAAGTGATCACTGCACCATAAACCTGCGAATATCCAAAAATGAAACTAAAAATAATTTCAAAGTTTACTGGAAATTCAATGCTAACTTTTTAAAGAATGACGAATATTGTAAAAGTATTAGTAAAATAATTCAAGATGTAAAAAATGACAAAAGTTTAGTGACAGCAATACAAAAATGGGAATTCTTCAAATTTACTGTTAGAAAATTTTCTATTTCCTTCAGCAAAAAATTACAAAAGAGAGACAAATGGAAGAAACTAAACTAACCAAGGAACTAATCTTATATTATCATAAATCTGACGAGTAAGGAAGACAAAATTAATATCAATAATTTACAATGTAAACTGGATGAATATTATCAAAATAAAGCCCATGGAGCATACATACGGTCAAGAGCCAGGTGGCTGGAAGAGGGTGAGAAAAATACTTCATATTTTTGTAATTTGGAAAAACAAAAACAGATGAAAAATACAATTAACAGTCTCATAATTAATGGTGAGGAAGTTACAGAAACAAAACAAATATCCAGAGAAGTTAAGGACTTTTACAGTAATCTGTTTACATCCTCATATTCTAAACAAGACTCAGAATCCTTTTTTATCAAAATTAAAAATTTGATCCCTAACAATGATGAGACATTTAGGTCCATTTGTGAAGAGGATTTTCAAATAGAAGAATTTGAGTGTGTTATTAAAAAAGTAGCATCAGATAAAGCTCCTGGATCAGATGGTATTACAGCAAATTTTTACAAATTCTTCTGGAAGGACATAAAAAAACGGTTGTTTGATGCAGTTATGGAGTGTATTCATAAAAAAGAATTGATGACAACAATGAAACAGGGTGTCATCATATTGATACCCAAACCAGGAAAAGATAAAACAAACTTGAATAATTTCAGACCCATCACACTTCTCAACACAGAATATAAAATATTTACTACAGTTCTTGCAGCTCGGTTAAAAGAAGGTTTATCTGATATAATTAGCTCCACTCAGTCTGGTTTTCTCAAAGGTAGATCAATTAATAACAATATTCGTCTGGTTCTAGATTTAATTGAATATGCCCACTTAATCCCTGATGACAGTATGATCTTATTTCTGGATTTTCAGAAAGCTTTTGATTCGGTGGAGCATCCTTTCATTTTTGAAACATTCAAACATTTTGGCTTTGGTGAGAAGTTTTTAAACATAATCAAAATGCTGCATACAGATGTTAACAGCTGTGTTTCCTTAGCAGAAGGAACAAGTCCCAGATTTACAATAAAAAGAGGGATTAGACAAGGATGCAGTGTTTCACCTCTCCTGTTCATCACGTTACTGAGCTCTTGGCTATCTCTATAAGAAACTCCAGACTTCATGGTTTACAATTTATGAATCAGAATATTATTATAAGTCAGCGAGCAGACGATACAACTCTGTTTCTAAAAAATAAAGATCAGATTCCACTGGCGATCCAAACAGTAGAAGCATTCTATAAAGCATCAGGATTAAAATTAAACTTGGAAAAGTGTGATTTAATGAGTATTCATGATTGTTCTCAATCATCTTATTACAATATACCGGTCAAACTGGAGGTTCGATATCTGGGCATTTGGGTCACAAAAACTGCAAGCAATTGTGTCAAACTGAATGTTGACAATCATATTAATAAATGCAAATTGATATTAAATAACTGGTTGCAGAGAGACTTAACTCTTTCTGGTAGGACATTACTAACGGAAATGTTTACCCTGCATCCTCCATAGCCATACCTCCAAAGATTATTAAGGAAATTAATAAATTAAACTTTAACTTTATTTGGAGAAATAAACATCATTATATCAAAAAAGGAGATACAGTTAAAAATTATGAAGATGGTGGGATTAAAGCAATAGATTTTGAAATAATGAATGGCGTATTAAAACTTAAATGGCTTCAATCTTTTCTTAAAAATGGTCATGAGCTTTGGTTTGCAAACTCTCAAATAGTATTATTACCTAAATTTAAGTTTATGATGGTTGATATGATAATTTGTTTAAGAATATGTTGACCTTAGGAGGTATGATTGTAGGTATTTGTATATGTTTATATGTATCATTGTAATTTGAGATTGTCATTTGTTGTTCTATTTGTGTTCTTTTGTTCTGTATGTTCAGTAGTTCAGTAAAGTTAAAAAAACAAAAAAACCTCCGCCTCCCCTTGATTTCCCCGTTAGCTCGCTGCAACAGTCTACTCGGAAAAAATGTCTGCCATCCTTGCTGAAACCCGCATGTCGCTGGTAATCCAAGATTCCATGAGACAAAGCACCGCACACTTCATCATCTCCGCTGAGGCGCTCACTCTCAGATGAAGGAAATAAACAGGAAATGTTCAAAATTGAAGACTCATCAAATAAAATAAAGGAAATCAACAAGATGCAAATTTTTCCTTCTGACTAGATTTGTTCATCCTGGATTCTGGGGTTTCAAAAACAAGTTTTGGGTCAACAGATTGTCATGAAAGTTGCACAAAGTGTAGAAAAGTGTTTATACTAAATTCTTACATTCCTTTTAATGAATCCTTTAAGTCAGTGTGCTGCTTGATCGTTGGAATCTGAGTCAAATGCTGAGGATTATATTTTTAACCTGGATTTAAAAAATGTATTTAATACAAGAGATGGAAATGGACTTCAATAAAAAAAGTTCACATATTTTCCCAGGAAAATGAATATCTGTAGAAATATTATCTCCTTGCTTTACAGTTATACTCTCACTAGCATTGTTGATGTCCCTCGTGCAAGTTCCCAATGATAGTTTGTGATCTTTATTAATTGTGAAGACTGCAGATAAGATGCACTGCCTGAATTTAGAATATAGACACAAAACATATAAATCTATGCCGGATAAAAGAAAACAACCTCCTCCTTCCAGTATTTTTCTTTTCAACCCCTCTCTTTCATCCCTGATGTTTTTAAACGTCCCCTCCCTCATTTATTTGTCTCCAAGAAGAAAAATGTCATGGAGTGAAATATGTGGAGTCCCTCCCAGATTCTTCACTGCTGTGCCTCTCATTGAGGAGCCTTCCCTCCATTGGGCTTGCAGGCATCAAGATTTAGTTCAGATATGCCTTGTGGTGTAATGCGGGTTGGGTCAAAAGGGCCTTTATAAAGAAGTGTTGGTTGGTTTCTGTGTGTTTTACCAGCAGCCAGGCTGGAATAGATGCACATGAGGAAACAAACATTTTGTTGGAGAATTGTTTAAGGCACTGCAGTAGTACCTTAGTTCTTCTTTCCACTTTGCCTGAAGTTGCAGCTAACCATGGACAGCTTGGTCAGGTCCCTGCTGCTCCTTCTACTGCCTGTCGTGGTGCTGAGTGAAGATCTGCCAGAGAGCTGGCAGCCAGGAAACTACACAAACAGCACCTCTGATGCACTCAGGTTCCTCAGTGACTACAACAGCACTGCTGAGGAGGTGTTCTTCTACAGCGTGTCTGCCAGCTGGAACTACGAAACTAACATAACAGAATACAACTCCAAGCTTCAGGTAGGAGCTAAATCTCTTCATTCCCACTCTGATTATCCTCACATTTTGTCACCACAGATACATTCAGGGGCAGTTTTCTAGCTTTGACAGCTGTAAGAAAAGGAATAAATTCTACCTGGATGCTGAATTATAAATAACAATGCCATAATTGACTATTAAAGAAGCCAAACTTGGAGTATCTGTCTATTGTCAAGAGTTCATACGTCATTCAATTCAATTAAAAAATACTTTATTAATCCCAGAGGGAAATTATTTGTTGCTGTAACTCGTTATCCTCGTTTCATTAAGAGATGTTATAGATACTGATGGCTGTAGGCAGGAAGGATCTCTTGTAAAGGTCCATCCCACAGTGGATCCTAAGAAACTGGCTGCAGATGCCGTCCGATCTGTCCACCCTGACTCGGCTGGCCTCTCGGTTCCCCCGGGCTGTAGGACCGCCCGAATGCCAGACAGAACTCCTCCCAGAGCGATGGCCACTCCTCCCAGCAGTCTGCCGAGCTCCTGGTCGCTACGGACAACCAACTGTAGGTGCTGAGGGACGATCTTGTCCTTCCACTGTCATGAGCCATGCCTCCTGCTAGTTCCAGGATCTCAGTGGTCAGGCACTCAAGCACAGCTGGCAGGTAGATGAGAATGCGTCCACAGAACATCCTTTCAACTCATTTGAGATTTGGGGCTGTAGTTGAGATATTATTTGAGCTTTTGAGATGTTAATCAGCTGCTGTTGGTTGTAGAAAACTGCCTTGTTGCCATGGTTACGCATCATAACAAATGTCCAAAACTAAAAAACTTTCAGTAAAAATCTTTCCAGCTGCACAGCATCTGATACCAGAGGAAACAATAATCCAAAAAATGTGACTTACATCCAGAAAAAGAGAAATTAATGTTTCCAAAAAGCAAAATCTCAGAATGAAAGTAACAGAGCTGCTCCAACATGCAGCCACCTTGAGCGGTGCAATTCTAGAACATGCCTGATTATGCCAAATCTCCCTATACATTTTAGTAGTATCTGGCAGATTTATAAAACGTCATCAATACTCTCATCACTTCATTTAAAACCCCACTTTTCTTTCTTTGCTCTTTTCTTTTTTGCTCAGTGAGTTTTAAGTTGCTGCAACACTTTGGTAGCTGTCATATTGCAGATTGTGATTTTGTCTCAGTTTAATGTATATAGAAAATTACACCTGCAGAGGCATATTTAAATCAGTGACATTTTATATAACTTTTATTCATAATTGTTGTTTTTAACTTTAGCAACTATAGCTTAGGTTTTTGTACAAGAAAAATGGCATATTGCATATAAAGTTTATATGAATGAGGAAAATGTGACTGACTGATGCAGTGTTCATGATTCTCTAAATTATGCATTATCTATTTGGCAGACACAACTAAAATGGTAATTGTGCTGAGACAAGACAGTCAAAGGCTCATTGATGCAGGTTGTGTCACAATAATTGGCAAACCATAAAATCTGGACTATTGTTTTTGAGTCTACCTGAATCTATTCTGCAGTGTGTAATGCTTGCAATTGTCTCTTACTAACAGGTCATTAAAAAGCAATCTTCTGTGGGGAAAACCATACAAATTGTTATAAGTTTTAACTGGAATGCAGGTTAAGAACTACGTTGCTAGAGCATGGAGGAATTACAAGTCTGAAAAAAACTGCTCCTTTATGGAGCAGCAGGAACAGCAGCATTAACTCTGTATGTAAAAGAACATTAGATAACTCGGATAATCTTTCTTATTCATTTTTTGACTCATCCTGTTAAACATTCCACAGACTAACTTTATTTAAACCGATCAAATTGAAGATCAGTCATATTCAAACTGCTGTCTCCTTGTCTTAGGTCAAAGCAGACCTTGAAGAACAAGCCTTTATTCAAGCCTGGGGATTCAAGGCCAAGGAGACCTTTTCAGATAAATTTCTGGACTCTCTTCCAAACCCTAAAGACAAAAGGCTGATGAGTGGAATCAAGGTGCTGGGTGCTGCCAACCTCCCACAGGCTGAAAGAGAAGAGGTTTGTTTGTCTGTAATCACAAGTTTGTCAAAGTGACACTCTGCTGATCTCTTAAAACATCAAATGTTTGTCCTTTAGTTCAACACCATCCTCAGCACCATGGAACGTATTTATTCTACAGCTAAGGTACACCCTGAGCCAAACATCAGCTGGAGCATGAATCCTGGTGAGTAAAGTGCTTTAAAATACCCCACCACACGCGCACACACACACACACACACACACACACACCAGAATATGGAAGTAATCCTAAAGTAAACAGTTACAGAATCAGATGAGTTTTTATGGTAGACTTGGCCTCTTTTTATAGCTTATGTTCTTTAACGTGAAGCTCGGTTTTATTTTAAACATTTTTTCTGCTGTTTGTTCCATAAGTTTTGTGTGTTCATCTTTGACTGATTAATGTCTTTTCTTGCAGATCTCACAGGAATCATGGCTAGAAACAGAAGCTACAAGCAGTTGCTGTTTGCTTGGGAAGGCTGGCACAATGCAGCAGGTGTGCCTGTGAAACAGTATTACCCAAGATATGTGGAGCTCAGCAACAAAGCTGCACAAGCTGATGGTAAGAAAGACCACCTGAAATTTTTGTTCTCAAGTACTGCATTCAATATTCTAAAGTTTCAGATAAAAATGGCAAAAGAATGATAGAAACAACTGAATGGAAAACATTTCTCTCTAGGATATGAAGACACTGGAGCATATTGGCGCTCTTGGTATGAAAGTGAAACTTTTGAGCAGGATATAGAGAAACTCTTCAAGACCATCAAGCCACTCTACCTGAACCTGCACGCCTTTGTGCGCCGTCAGCTCTACAACTTCTATGGCCCCAAGTATATCAATCTAAAAGGACCAATCCCTGCCCACCTGTTGGGTAAGATGCATGACATTTTTTTAAAACCTTTAAAGAAATTTAACTTGAATGTGAGGCATTATAAACATTTATATTTCAAATAATATAATTATAAAGTATTTACAAACACAATCTTCATGAACATCTCAAAAACAATGGGAGAACAGTCATAATACAAATCTGTGATTAATGCATGAAGGCTTTTCTTTTAGTCCTGCATGGTAAGTCAGAATGACGATATAATCATGTTTCCACCAGGAAATATGTGGGCCCAAACTTGGAATAACATTTATGATATGATGACACCATTTCCTAAGAAACCCAACGTGGATGTTACAAATGAAATGGTCAAACAAGTGAGTGTGACAAGACTTGTTCATGCCACTGAAGTGGTGTTGGGTGGGGTGTGTTAGGTGATATGACTTTTGTCAAATGGTCTTTCTCAGGGCTACAATGTCACTCACATGTTCCATGTGGCTGAGGAGTTCTTCACATCTTTGGGTTTAGAGGCGATGCCCAGAGAGTTCTGGGAAAAATCTATGTTTGTTAAGCCTAAAGACAGAGAGGTTGTTTGTCAAGGATCTGCTTGGGATTTTTTAAACCACAAAGATTTCAGGTAAATCACATTTATCTCCTAGTTCTGACTGAAATGTTGGTATGTTAACGTTTAATGTTCTTCAGGATTTTACAGTGCACCACAGTGACGATGGAACAGCTCATGAGTGTTCATCATGGAATGGGAGACATAGAGTATTTCCTGCAGTACAAGGACCAACATGTGGGCTTCCGTAGCGGAGCCAACCCTGGTTTCCTTCAAGCTATTGGAGACATTATAGCTCTTTCAGTTTCCACACCAAACCATCTGCACAAAATCAACCTGCTGGAGTCTGCATCATCTGATGCTGGTAATATTTCCAAATACTTCTCTTCAATTAATATGATGAACTGGCAAAATGGTTTGGAATGTTCCAGTTTAAATATATATATTTTTTTCTAGAAACTGATCTTAACTTCTTATTGAAAATGGCTCTGGAGGAGATAGCTTTTCTTCCTTTTGGCTACCTCATTGACCTCTGGAGATGGAGTGTGTTCAGTGGAATCACCACTCCAGACAATTACAACTCTGATTGGTGGCACCTCAGGTAGGACGATACGTAAACATTATGTACTTTAAATAAGTACAAGGCTGACACTTATGTTCTTAAAATTATGTTGTTCTTAAAATGACATTCTAATGTTTTAAATAGAACAAAATACCAAGGAATTTGTCCACCAACTATACGTACAGAGGAGCACTTTGATCCTGGTGCAAAATATCATATCCCTGGCAATTATCCATATATCAGGTACTGTTCCTCTGCCATTTTTTATTATTTTGCTTTTCTCCGGCTGCTCATTTTTTGAAGGGTTTCCATAGACAGCATACTCTCTAGACTCGAGAGGAATAGGCAGTTGTTTTGCACTGGGTGCCCTTCCTTACGGACGCTGAGCTAAAACAGCCCTCTTTGTGGAGCAGAGGGCAGCTATCAAAGGAGCCTGTGCAGTAGCGTGGGGGGAGGGGTTTCAGGTACTTACTCAAGGGCTTGGAATGGGGTAAATGAGGGTAGATGCAAGTGTGGATGCTTCACTTTTCCAAACCGCACTATGACTGCAATAAAGGTGAACATAGTCATTCACAAACAAGAATCAGAATGTTATCCTTAAATTTACAGTTTTGTGTTTGATGTGGCAGAAGCACCATGCTCTTAATGCTAAGTGCACTACCTTGTTCACACATGCTATGCATTATATGTATGCCTGAAATGGGCATTACATATGAGATGAGGATGATTTGAGAAGTATGCATTGTTTTTTTTTTTTAACAACACTGTAGATGAACAGATGCTGGGATATATTCATCATTTAACGCGGGTTCCTCATTTTTCTGGACTGAATAAAACGTGCATTGAATTTAAGGAAATGCAAACGTGAGACGTCATTTATATTTGACCCATCAAAATGAATGCGGTCATTTATTTACAGAATCAAATTTAACATCAAACATTTACATTAATTTGGCAAATTATGAAAATAACAATATAAGCAATCAATCAGGAAAAATCATACGGCCATGATTTTTCCGTTGCTGCACCACAAACATTTATAAAACTGTACAACTATGATCTTTTACCCACACGGATGTGAATAAGCACTTTACACAGACATTTCTAAATATCTGGGAGAATTTCTACTTGATAGAAAGTTAAAGATGAAAGAAGTTAAAGGGAGTAAGATTGAATGGGAAGGGAGGAATGTTCACCAGAACCGACACTCTCCATCAGAAGCCCAGCTCTCCTTCGGTACGCTTGGTAGGAAACTTGATCCATTACCTTTCTGAAGATTTATCAGCAGATATGGAATTCCGTTAACGCTACCTGTCCAGCGTCTCCTGATGGGGCTGTAGCTCGTCAGAAGTAGTGGCTAGTGAAAGTTATAATCCCATGGAACTCGGAAGAGCCTTTTGTCATGTCAAGATCATCCCGTCTCTAACAGAACTTGAGCAGAACCAGCAGAAAACTCTCCAGCACTCCAGCAACTTCAGAACTCCAGAACTCTAGAAGTCTGACAACTCTCCAACTCTGTGACTCTGAGTCTCTGTGTAGACCAGGAAGTACTGACATTTTAAAGACTCTTTCCCGGTTCACTTTTTGGGATTTTTCATTGGTCAGAAACGACCAGACGGGGTGGGTTTTGTGACGTAAGAGGTTAGAGACAGCGAGAATTGTTATGGGACAGCTCAGAAATGTTCTCACAGACCGAGAGGGTTTTGTTTTGGCGTGTTTCAGGAAACAGGTGCAAAACATCTCTACTTACGTCTGAGAGGATTCTAAAACATGACAGTTTTAACATAACAACTTGTTTTTCGTTTGACTGTAACCTTGTAAACGCACACACTTGCTCATTCAAAAGCAGAAATCAGAAAAATGCATAATTACTCTGTAACAGCTTTTAACATGAGTTCTAACTGCATGAGAATAAAAATCATTACTCAGTTAATAAAATTGATTAGTTCACTGCAACATCTAAAATGGTTTGAACTAAGACACTTTGATTATCAACATTTGTGGTAGTAATGATAATAAAAAAGAGAGTGTTCTTTTCACTTGAATCTTCAAGAAAGAAAGTCTCAGGATGGGTGAACCTGTATTTATGTATTCAAATACATGAAATGACAGTTCCTGTCCCACAAGGTTCTAAAGGTCAAGAGTTTTGACCTTAGACTTAGTTTCGACGTAGGCCTAGTCCACTACAACACTATCACTCTACAATGGGAGGAAGCCTGTTGCAGAGGCCAAGGCAGTGTTTAAGTTACTTCAGCTGGTTTTTCTTAAATAAAATAAATGCAGTCAAGATAAAACAATGTTGTCCCCCTCAATGCAGCTATTTTGTCAGCTACATTCTGAAATTCCAGTTTCATGAGAAACTGTGCCAGGCTGCCAACCACACAGGTCCCCTGCACACATGTGACATCTACCAATCTGCAGAAGCAGGAACCATTCTAAAGTAAGTCAACTTACTAACTGGATCTCTGTTTATTAGACACTGTGAACGATGGGTTAAAAGTATTATCTCCTCCCCAAGGAAAGTTCTTCAAGCTGGCTCTTCCAAACCTTGGCCTGATGTGCTTGAAGATGCTATAGGTACCAGGGAGATGAGTGCCAGCTCACTGATGAAATACTTTGAACCTGTAACTAAGTGGCTGGAGAAACAAAATGTGAATGAGACCTTGGGATGGCCTGAATTTGCTTGGGTTCCACCAATTCCTGAAGGCTACCCTGAAGATATTGGTAAGAATTAAATAAAGCACAGCTGTAGTCATGACTCTCCACTTTTAGTTTACTAACTAAACTTCTTTGTCATATATACGAATAAGCTTGATTCAAGGCAACTTCTGGAAGAACGTAGCTGAAGTGGTGCGGAGTGCATACACAACCTCCTGGACATAAAGACGTTATGGTGAGAATGGTTGCCAAACAGCTTCATAAAAGGCTTCGTCATTCATCTAATCTGAACAACTTTTGAACGTTGCATCAAAATATAAAATCAATAAATATTGTCAATAAATCGAATAGACTCATTATTCATGGTGTTCATGAAGTTCTAGAATTGCGCCGTTCAAGGTGGCTGCATGTTGGAGCAGCTCTGTTACTTTCATTCTGAGATTTTGCTTTTGGAAACTCTTATTCCTCTTTTTCTGGATGTAAAGCACTTTTTTTTGAATTATTGTTTCTTCTGGTATGAGATTTTGTGCAGTTGGAAATTTTTTTACTGAAACTGTTTTTAGTTTTGGACATTTGTTATGATGCGTAACCATGGTAACAAGGCAGTTTTCTAAAACCAACAGCAGCTGATTAACATCTCAAAAGCTCAAATAATATCTCAACTACAGGCCCAAATCTCAAATGAGTTGAAAGGATGTTCTGTGGACGCATTCTCATCTACCTTCCAGCTGTGCTCGAGTACATGACCACTGAGATCCTGGAACTAGCAGGAAACACAGCTCATGACAGCAGAAGGACAGGATCGTCACTCAGCACCTACAGCCATCTGTCTGCAGCAATGAGGAGCTCGGTAGACTGCTGGGAGGAGTGGCCATCAATCTGGGAGGAGTTCTGTCCAGCATTCGGGTGGTCCTACAGCCCGGGGGATCCGAGAGGCCAGCCGAGTCTGGGTGGATGGATCAGACGGCATCTGCGGCCAGTTTCTTAGGATCCACTGTGGGATGGACCTTTACAAGAGATCCTTCCTGTCTACAGCCATCAGTATCTATAATGTCTCTGAATTAAATGAGAATAACGAGTTACAACAACCAATAACTTCCCTTTGGGATTAATACAGTATTTTTTAATTGAATTGAATTTGAATCTAATGTCATTTGCACTTCAATCCATTATGCATGTGTAGTGGACTAGGCCTCCGACCAAAACCTGCCTCTGAAGACCTTCATGGGACAGGAACTGTTATTTCATTGATTTGAATCCAGAAATACAAATTAGCTCATCCAGAGACTTTCTAATTTTATCCTGAACTAATCAATTAAAAGAACACTCTTCTTTTATATTATCATCACTATTTTACAATATCTTGATAATCAAAAGTGTGTTTAGGTCATATCATTTTTAAATGTTGAAGTGAACCACTCATTTTAAATCAACTATGAAACAGTATTGATGATTTTTGAATCCTCATTTAAATTAGAAATCAAGTTAAATGGGGCAGCACGGTGGCGCAACTGGCAGAGCTGCTGCCTCTCAGCGAGAAGGTCCTTGGTTCAAACCCCGGTCCAGGGGCCTTTCTGGGTGGAGTTTGCATGATCTCTCCGTGCATGCGTGGGTTTTCTCCGGGTACTCCGGTTTCCTCCCACAGACCAAAAACATGCATGTTAGGCTGATTGGTAACTCTAAATTGTCCCTAGGTGTGAGTGAGAGAGTGAATGGTTGTTTGTCTCGTTTGTCTCTGTGTGTCCCTGTGATGGACTTGCGACCCGTCCAGGGTGTACCCCGCCCCTCGCACAGTGATTGCTGGACATGGGCACCGGCGACCCCCGTGACCCAAAATGGAATAAACGGGTAAAGATAATGGCTGGATGGATGGATGGATGGATCAAGTTAAATGTCTATTTTACAAAGGAATTATGCATTTTTGATCTTCTGTCTGAAATGAGAAAGAGTGATGTCGGTCAAAATCAGAGACACTCAAAAAACAAGTGTTAGAACGGGCTGTCGTGTTTTTAAAACTCTCAGACAGTAAATAAAAGAACTGGCACCGGCAGTGTTTCTCACTTCGCCAAAACATTTCTCTGTCTGTTCCTAAACATTTCTGCTGTTTTCTTGACCTGTAAAAACCCTTTGACGTCACTAGAACCACACCCCTGTTGGTTGCTTCAACCAATCATGACTTCCTAAAAGTGACCAGAAGCAGAACTCTTTAAAAGTCGACACTTCCTGGAACTATCTGTCTTCTGAGTTAGAGTGCGTCTGTGGAGTAATGTCTGCTCAGTCTTCTGAGTCTTTTCTGAGTCTGTGGAGTAAAGTTGGCTGAGGTCTTCTGAAGTCTTCTCGAGTCTCTTGGAGTACTGTGGAGTAGTTCCGGAGTTTTTCCACTGCTGAGTGGAACTTCGGACTCAGTTTCCAGTCTGATGGAGCCATCCATCTCTGCAGGAGCCACGACGCCTCGCTGTGGCTCCACCCGGCGAATGCCCTACAACTTCTGAGGAAATTTGTTCTGTAGAACGGAGTATCTCACGACTTCTGCCGAGTCGCAGACGCCCTGAGGAGACGCTGAAAGGTAGCATGCCAGGGACATCTTGACCGCAGCGGACCCATCCTCTGCCACGGTAAAGAGTCGTCACGAGCTTCACTATAAGTGTACCACGGCGAGCTGCATTTGAAAGGAGCGTGTTGTCCTGGTCTACAGACATAAATCTTCCTCCACATCTTCCTTTAAACTCCTCCATATTTCCCATCTTTAAAACTCTTCTATCTTGCAAGTAATTAATCCAGATATCTTCAGAAACGTCTGTTATTTTTATTAAGTAAAACGTGCCAAGTTTTATTAATCAGAACCAGACCAGTCTAATCAAGTGTACGTTTTGATGCTACATTTTGATTCTGTTAATAAATGACCACATTTATTTTGATTGGTCAAAGAAAATTAACGTCTCATGTCACTGATTAAACCAGCTACGCACAGTACCTCTGTCACATATCTGTAAGTAGCTCGAAAAAGAGAGAACCCGTTAATTTAAAATATGACTAGAGTGAAGCTCTGAAGCTAACCTAGTCTTTTTGAATCACTACACATGCATCAAAACTTCACTTAGCAGTATTTTTTACATTGAAAACTCAAAATACCCATTCTCCTCCAACCTGGAGATGTTGAAGCATGCGTTAGAATTTGGATTGGAAGCTGGCAAATATGATACAACTGACTTCCAGGATCTGCCCATCAAGCACATCACTGAAGGACTTGGTGACATTCAGAGGGCAGCACTGCCCTCCTCAGCAGAACAGGAAGAGTTGAATAAAAATGGATTTCTGATTGCCAAGCGTTTCACTCTAAAGGTTTATACAGAAACATCAGAAATTCACATGATAACAAAACTAGAATTTTATATGTAAAAATGGTATGTTCACATATGTTCTTGATGGATCATGATGTAATCTAATGGGTGGTTGGAACCAAAACTTATAAAACGTGTGCTTTTGATTTTTTTTCTGAAATCAAATCAAATGCAGCTATTTGAAGGCTCAACGTCCTCCTGGTCCATAATCAAGACAGCTAATTCCAGAATCTGATAAAAAAAACATGTTGATAGTGGAACATCTTTAAAGTCAGGAAAGCCAAAAGTCGTCTTTTCACAGGTAAAATGTTCAAATGTTTAGGAATTAGCAAGATGGAAACATTTGTGCTCAAATTGACATTATCAAGCTTGACTATACAGTAGTCTCTCGTTTATCTCAGCTCACTTGCGATAAGTGAAAAACCGCGAAGTAGGAATAGTAGTACAAGTAGTAGTTTATTTTAGTATATATATATATATATATATATATATATATATATATGTGTGTGTGTGTGTGTGTGTGTGTGTGTGTGTGCGTGTGTGTGTGTGTGTGTGTATATATATACAGGCAGCACGGTGGTGCAACTAGTAGAGCTGCTGCCTCTCAGCAAGCAGAAATATTAATTAACGTTTTTTGGCTTTTTACAAAAAAGGGAATGACTGGTCCTTTTTTTTCCCTAAAGCCAATTTCATCAGCTGAGGATTGACCCACTTAGGCCTCCGAGTCTTGCCCTGACCATTATACACTGGAAAATGGTGCCTTCTGCAAATTGCGGGTCTAGAAGTGGATGAACACATCCATGTTGCTTGTTTTTGCTGTGCCCAAGTTTATGGGCAAAGACCAGGTCCCAGGTGCTTGCAAGCAAGCATCTTTCCCAGGTATGGCTCCAGGGTGAGGCCCAGATATTCAAAGTCTGGGCACGATATTTTAGTTCCTTGGTCTTAAGGCATGTGAAAGGGTTACTGAATCTCGTATACTCTTAGTCTTTGACAAAATAAGATCAACAAAGTGTCACTGCCTCAACTTCCATCCATTCATTACCTTTACCTGCTTCTTCCTTTATGGATCGTGGGGCTCACTGGTGCCCACATCCAGCTATCACTGTGTGAGAGGCGGAGGACACCCTGAACAGGTCTCCAGTCCATCACAGAGACACATAGGGACAAATGAGACAAACAACCATTCACTCTCTCACTCACACCTAGGGACAATTTAGAGTTACCAATCAGCCTAACATGCATGTTTTTGGTCTGTGGGAGGAAACTGGAGTACTCGGAGAAAACCCACGCATGCACGGAGAGAGCATGCAAACTCCACCCAGAAAGGCCCCCGGTCTGTGATTGAAACCATCCTGCTTGCTGAGAGGTAGCAGCTCTACCAGTTGTGCCACCGTGCTGCCACTGCCTCAACTTATATAAAATTGAATTCCCCCCCCCCCCCCCCACACACACACACACATACAATCATGTTGTGCAATCTATCTTTAAAACATGAAATAACAAATTACAGCTAAACATGTATAAAATGATATTTGAATATATAGTAGATGCGAGGACTACAATAATCCATGAGTCAACACTTGAAAGTCTTTTTTCCTACTTTCTTTTACGAAGGGCAAAGTCTCCTTCAATTATTTGTAGGAAGTAGAACTTCAAGTTTGTGCAAGAATTGAATAACAGATATCTGTTTTTGTTTACATACAGTACTTGTACCTGGCTGTGTGGGCCAATCTTTG